AACGAGCCAATTGTTTCCTCCTCGTTCTCTAATTACACGTTCGCGAGGCGTGTTTCAAGTTCATCGTCGAAAACTGTACTTCGTCTATTGAGACTCGCGGCAAAGGGCAAAACGAAGAAATAAGGCGTTCTCGTGCTTATTTCTGGTCCCTCGATTTCGGAACTAAACAGTAATATATATGAGTTGAATTTCGACTAGTTGAAGAAATCAGGCGCGAATTAACTCTTACCATCAAACGTAAAGGAAATAAAATGGAAATAATAATTCAACAATCAGCGTAAGAATATATTGAAGATATATTGATATATGAATATTAATTTAGATTGAAAATCTAAGAACAAATTCAGCGCTAGGGAATTAATTTTTCAAATTATCTGACTGAAATAATAGTTCGTTATGTCAGAATGTACAAACTAATACGTTAACGGATACTTTCTGTAATAATTGTAATATTTCGTATAATTAAATATTATAGAAAATTTTATGCTATAATATTATACTATACTATAACTACTTATATTATTTATATTACTTACACTATAATTTTTTCTGACGAAAATGAAACATAGAGCTTAATGAAAGAACGTTTCATTGGAAAATAAGAGTCAGAAACTAGTTGTCCGCTCAACTTAAATATTTGTTGTGAATAATCGAAGAATGGAAAAGAGGCAATTTTTAATCATTCTATGTTTCTTTGAACGAATTCGCGTAAACAAAAATGAATTGACGAGACAGACTAGTGGTGATTCAATTAACTCGTTCATTAGCACGCAGACACTCGCGTGAGGTTTGCGTTTTCGGTGACATACTAATCGTGTTCTCAGCGAAAGAGAAAGAGAGAGGGAAGGAGCGAAATTGTTGGCCCACGACGAGTTACCTTTAAAAGTACTACTTCCGCTGACGTCGACTTCCTGGCTGTTCCCCGCTATCTGCACGTTTGCCAGCGCGCCAGTTTAATGAAATGTTCGAACGTTATGCCAAGCAATAATTCCGTTGTTTCCCGATTTCCCTTTAAAGCGTGCATCGAACGAGTCGCGCGTACGAACAATTACGACAAATTGGAAAAATAATAGAAAAGAGAGGCGATTCCCAACAGAAAATTCACACCTCGGGTCAAAAGTCTTGAGACAAATGACATTCGTTACAGAATTGAAGAAACTAAATAATAATTCGATGCAACAGAGTAACTATAAATTGGCGATTGTCGTGTTATAAAATACACGCGCGATTTAAAAATGTTACCATTCTGCTGAAAAATGAATCGAATATTCGAAATAAAAAGTGACTTCGAGACTTTTCTAAAGTTTCCCAAAAATTTTCTGAGACTCTTCAAAACTTTCTAAGATATTTTCTGAAATATTTCCTGAACATTCCCGAATCTCGGTAAGCGGAAAACGGAAGAATACGTCCCTGTCGGTCGGATCGGTCGTGCCTCAGTTTCCCTCCAGGATTCCCTGAACGCGCGCGACGTCGCGTCGGTGATTTATATTCACATCGTTGCGAAGTTTATCTTTTCAAAAAAAAGACGACCAAGCTCGATAAAGCGAAACAGACAGAGAGAGAGGGGAAAGGAAAACAGAATGAAAGGAACAGAAGGCGTACACAACAAGAGGAAAAAATAGAAGGTATCTCGTAACAGTTTGGAAAAGCTTCGGGAACGTTTTCCCACGTCGTACAACAT